TAAACAAATTAAATTCAGCTTTCAGAAAACAGTCTTATCACTTAGATCATAGGGAAAAGCCACAAAAATTATAATCTAATCATATTGACATCCAAAATAAACTATTGTTTGAAATTCAAATATTAAAGCCTATGCTTATGATAACTTCCATAGGGATACTATGATGTAATCATTTTCAATACAATGTTGCTATTATGCACTTGCTTTACTTGGTTGTTACCTGAGAAAAAATTTACCACATGAATATATATTTGATTTATAGGAATATTTTTATTTGTTCATGTAAACTCTTGCCGTTTTTTTTTTCTTAATTGAAGCCCAATTTGGTTTTACAATCAACTTCCAAGTCAACTGCCAATAGGAAGGAATCAAAAACATATCACACAATGTAGCTCATTCAAACATTTAACAATGGTGTAAAGAGAGAAGGTTTCAAAATATATATTTCAAAATTCTCACTATTATCTTCCATTCTCCATTCTGTGTGTCTGACAGGATCTTGCATGTTGCTTGCTCTTTATAATGTGTACTATAATTCATCCAATTGTTAGGAACAGTTACTTTTTGTGAGTATTCCAAATATGAGGAAATTAGAATTTTTCTGACTTTTCTTTCAGAACTTTGACCAGTTTTAGGATGATGGTTTACATGAACAAATTTCAATCATAAGGGTACAGTCTGTTCTATTATTAAAAGCAAATGAACAAACAAATAAAAACCCAAAACCAAACCAAAAACCAAATACAATCCAAAAAACACCAAACTCCATGCTGTCAGAACAGGATTGTTAGGAACGAACAATACTTCTCTCTATATCTCAATCTTGAAAATACAATAGGATAAATTATCTTTTAAAAAAGAGCAAGGTAGTTGGGATTGTGGGGAACTGTCTAAGTAACATGTATATGAATTTAAATTCCATTCCCCAGTAGTCAGTTCTGTAAATAAGGAGACCTTGGGTAATTTTTCTTGCTAAGACTTAAATTTAGCTCACTAATCTGCTTCAATATGCAAGATACTGTAATAATGAAATGTCCTGCTCGTGAAAGTTTCTGTTAGTGCTGGAGAAGCTGGAGGAAGCAGCTAAGATAGTTTTTTGGAGGTGAGTAATCCATATGTGTTTAAAGTTTCTGCTACCAAAATGTTACAAACAGCACTTGGTAGCAGAAACTTTAAACACGCTTCAATAATTATTTGAAGGTATTACCTCTGAACTAAACCAAAATAAAGCATAAAACCCCTGAAGTAATTTTTAAGCGTGAAATCCTATTAAATGAATTACAGTAATTCGCCTGTGGATAAAACCTATTGTTCTACCACAACTCACTAAGTCATTTTGTTGTAAGTCAGGGGAACACATCTGTCTGGTGAATTGCAGCGAACACAGAACCTCTGATGTAACAACCCAAAAGTGACAGACTCTCAGATATGACTCTGGATTGCACAGATAAAGAGGCTGATTGCACAGTGAGAAGGAGAGAGGAGTCCGGATGAAGAAATAGTGCAAAATGCAGGATTGCTGCTGTTCTCTGATTTTTTTTTTTTTATAAAGAGAAAACCTTTGTCTTTTGTTCCTAATCTTGAAGCCCTTGGTCTTACCAAATTAAAAGAACCCTCTTCAACAAGATCATACACCCAACCTCCCACAGCAGCTGTGATTCTACATCAGTCCAGCATAAAACTGCATTACATCTCCAGGTCAGTTATCTGCCTTCTACAAAGTAATACAGTAGTAATATTTAAACCAATTTTGTCTTCAGCCTTCAGTTACGTAGAAATTGACAACCATGTATGATCAGATCACTAATAGGGCCTATAATATTTTAAGTAAGTATTCACTAAGCAGATATGCTGACCTGAGAGGGCCACTAAGAAATCCACTAGCCATGAATATGTTTATCCCTTTTGGCCTCCTAAACATCCCGTGGTAATGAATATACAGTGCACCTGAACCAGCTATCCAATCTCTTACCCCAACTGTACAATTCAGGATGCAATTCACCTCAATCTGAACTAGAATTTCTGAAACAAATTCGTATTTCACTCCACTGGTTATGGAGGATCATTAAACCTAGGAAATATCCCTAAATCCAGATTTATTTTTGTGAGATCCTGAGGCATCTCACTTGGCACAAAGCACTTTTGAGGCTCTGGTCATCATGTGATAGAGGAGGATTGCAATACTGAGAAGTTCATCTTCAAGGTGGGCATAAATGAATCCATCTTAAATGAACATACATCAACTCTTCCTAATCTTTTTGTTTCCACAGCAGCCTGCAACACTACAGATCCCCAAAAATTAATTAGGAAAAAAAAATCAGACAATAAACTGAACAAAATCAAAAGTCCCTTACTTAAAACTTCTTCCTCTTTTTATGAGAGCTTGTGCCATAATTATTTCACTTGATACCCTCACTGCCTGCATATAGATTTAGAATATATATATGTTCTAAGTGTTTTTCAGTAGAGTGACCAGAACTGCATGACATTATATTAACCTTTGGCATCACAGGGATTTATGCAGTAAAATAAAACCACTTGTTTTGGTTCCATTTATTTTTTAGTGATTTAAAATACCTCTGCTATTTTCAAGTGTTAGTGTTCAGAGAACAGATGCTTTCAGGTAAGTATTCACAGTGGTTGAGAGACCTTGTTCCCAAGAGATAATAGTCATTCTAGAGACTGATGATGTATAAACATAGTTTAGGTTGTTAAGGTTGGTTTTCCCCCACCTGCACATTACTTTGCATTTCTGACAGTGTTACATCCATCATTTTATTGCTAGTGATTCTATATTGGAAGTTTTAGCTATGACTGTCCTGAACATTTCGTATCATCCAGAGACTCGACAGTTCACTGCAATTTTCAAACTGATTAAGGGGAATAGAAAGAAAATTAATAAACCCAGCCTCTTCCTACAACTGTTAAAGGGCAATTGGTTCACTGGCAACAATCACTTTATAAAAAAGAATCATTCTACCTCTTTGTTGCTGTTTTATGAAGCTCCTTCAAGCCTTGCCACACAGGTACTTTATATGGTCTGTTTCTCCCTCCTTTCTAAAAGAGGAGGTAATTTCTCTGTAGGTCAGAGGGTCTATACAAGAACCAATTCGCATCACCAAACAGTTTAGATGTAGCCCTACTTCAATCTGTTATTTCCATCTCTCTAGAATTCTTACAGGAATTCAGCTGTATTTGGACTCTTGTAAGAAATTATCTATAGCCCAGAGAGGTAATATAACATCTCTCCTTGTACACATTTTAAGTCTTGTTTGTTTTCTTAACATGCACAATTCCATTAAACATATTCTAGGATTCCCAAAGGATTTCCAAATCAATGTTGCTTTAGTATCAAATATTCACTTGTTTTTGCACAACTTTATATATATACAGGCAAATTTCAAGAAAATGTTAGAGGTCTTTCATTTTTATTTATAAATTATGATATTAATAATCATGAAGAGTGGCATCTGGATGACTGTAAACATATACTTCTTCTTATTGGTACTACTGAGGTAGCTAATCCAAAATTAAGCACACACTTTTTCTCAAAAAGTAATAGATCACATAAAACCTCTGTGTTCTGTGCCTGAAGTAATACATGCTATAAAGCAACATTTGCAATATATTTAGAAAAATTGAAGCAAATAAGCACTCACTAAGCATAAAAGTTTAAAAGAAAGAAGAAAAAAACAATGTAAAAGGATGTTTGGGCCCTGAAATTAGATACAGAGAGTCTGCAGAATTAAAATTAATTACATCAACCTTGGGATAAATACTGCTGCTACCTAGACTCAGCGATAGAAATTGCTCTGTGCTCAGACAATGATCTTAAGAAAAAAACAGTCATAATCCATGTTGTCAGAGGTACAGTTTGAGCGATGAAGAGAGAAAATGGAAAGATCATTTGTTCACAGCAAAAGTGTCCTCCACTAACAAATTTGTAATACAATGTTTTCTGTGAGTCAGTGAAATCCTACTAAAAAAGACAGCTTTTTCATTGTCAGATATCTTTATCTTCCCAGTGGATAAGGATTTTAGATGATTCTTATTCAGAGACTTAGGAGATCCTGAAATGTCTTTGAAATCTAAATAAGGAGATTATATGAATCAGCAAGGGTCTTAATGCTTGTTTTAATTCATGATAATCATCAAATTGCTAATAGTGAAGCACACAGGAGTAAAAAATCTTTAAAAAAAGGTGTACCATCTGTATTTGAAGAAGTTTTTGTGTACTACCACCATATGAAAATTATGAAATACCTATCCTAAATATGTATTTCTAAGAATTGATAAATATAATTTAAAAGTTCCACTTGTCCCCTTTCTGGCCAAAGAGTCATTTTATACCATTCTGAGACACTTCAGCTGAAGGCTGATCATCTCAAATACTATGGCATGTTCCTCTGGACAGCTGGTGATGGAAAGCATATCCCTCTCTTTCTGAGGTTTTGTTCTTGAAATCCTAAATATTATTCCCATTCCTAGACAAATCACATGTATGCTAATTAATCAACTTCTATTTTGTCTCAGACATGAGCCAGTCTCTCTTCAGTCTCTGTTTCTTTATCAAGTAAGGAAAAGTAAAAGAAAAAATTTCGCTATTGGAGTTAAATGATACATTTTTCCTTCCTATTGTCTTAAAATAGTCTTACCTTAAGATTTAGACTCATGGGTTTTTCTCACATTGAACCAGAGGAGCTAATCGCTCCTTAAACTGCTTCCAAATTATTTTATACCTACTACCTGTCAGACCTCTCCCTTCTGAAGCCTCCCATCGCCTCTTTCATTTTCCTTCTCAGCTTTCCTGTTTCCTTCAGCTACTTTTTTTGATGTGATATCTTTGGTGACTTTAAGATCTTCATGACCTCCTACAACATATTTTTACAATTGCCTTTTGAAATCTGATGGCCAATCTGGAATCTGCATATTGTTTGGGAGGTCTATGTCTTTAAAGAATCCTGGAGGAAACAACCCATTATTCAAAATACGAATTTAACATCCTACTTCCCCATGAAGGAACTTGCTTGTATGCCTATATATCCAGATATTCTGAAGCTAGAGAAGCAGAAATATGAAAAATGGTGATGTTCAGTAAAATGAAATCTATTTCACAGTATCTGAATTACAAACACAAATACCATTTAGACCATTTAAGAAACTGTTCATTATTAGAATACAGCACTTTTAATTTGTTACCTGAAGAAATGACCATCCCTTCTGGTTATTTGTTTTAACCTTCTCTGTTACCTTCAAATGCACTTTCTGACATGCTGATGATAATTAGAAATACTGATGTTACTCTCTGCTCATTGTCTCCAAAATCCACACTCATAGAGAGATGTAAATTTTTGCCAAACAATTCTGATTAATACTGTACTCTTATCTATATGGTGTCCATAATCAAGAGCCAGAGTATGCTTGAACTGGAAAATATGCTACTTTCTGTTCCCTTCCCTTGTCTAAATGCTTTTAGGGGATTGAAAATTCTCATCAAATAAAGAAAAAAAGCTTCAGGGATGCTTTAATCTGTTTCCACAGATAATAGCTGGCATGAAATTGCTATTCCAGACAGTATCACAGGAGTAAATTTACAAGCAATAAAGAAATATCCCAAGGAATTCAGGACCACACATTATTAGTATATAAATTACACAAATGAAATAAGCATACTATTTCTGGACCTACAAAAGCCTTTTGTTTTCAGTACTATCACATTTAAAATTAAATTTAGTGAACAAAAAGATAATCTTTATATAAAGATTAATACTTTTTTTGCTACTTTGTGTAATGCAAAACATACAGGAGTCTTAACCACTCAAAAATTAAATATTTTCAAGTGCTTTCATGTAGTAATGGCCTGGGCCTTCTGGGTGCATGCAATATGCAGTCTTCTTAAATTATTTGCATACGTCAGACTGTAGCAATAAGCTATTTAGATGGGAAAATCCCTGTATTTTCAAAGAGTGGATGAAGAAATTGGTTCAGTTCAGAAGTCCATCAAGATTAAGATGCCTCTTCCATACACCCTTCATAGAAGGGTGGTTGGAACATCTGTTCTCCAAATTTTCTTTAAAAAAGGGGTTTCATCAACCCAGAAAGATTAAAACCAAAGGATCCTGGGAAGGCCAAGCCTATCTTTTTTCCACTCCTAAAGAAGTATTCAAAAGGGAACAGAATCTTGAATTAGATGAAAAAATAGCTGATCCTTGATTTGAGTTACTTGGTTTGAGGTCAATTGATTCAACTCTCATTGAATAGAACTGAATATGTGATATTTTATAGAAAGATTAGAGAATGAGTTAGATATTATATATCATTCTTTTATTCTGTCTGTATTCTACACATATAGCCTCCTGTGTCTAGATGTGACTCTTTCCCTTGGTAGATCTGACAGAAAAGAGTCTGCTTTTATAAACAACATTAGTAAGGTAAACTCTGCTCCACTGCCTCCAGAGTTTTCTTAGAGTTGCATAGCAAAGTATTTCCCAGTGTCACAAAATACTTTCTGCATTCTGAGCCCTGGAGTGAGCACATCAAATCAATAATTGCTTAAGCATATGCTTAATTAGGCTAAAAAGCATACTCATTTTGAAACTGCTGCATGAATTCTTTAAAAAATAGTTTGGTGATTTTTAGAGCATTACATCCCTCCTGTGTCTTCCATACCGTGTTTTCTGAGGCACAAAAAAAATCTTCATTTTAGGGTTAACCCTTTCATCTGTGTCCAAACATATTCATTATTTGGATCCCAGCATTTTTTTTTCAGTGTCGTAAGGACACAGTTAGGGTTTTTCTTGTTCTGTGCTTATGTAGCACCTGATAGGCAACAGGAGATGAAAAGTTCTGAGTTTTGGCCTTTGAATCCATCACAGTAAGTCTTAAAAGAGACAAAGAGAGTGTACAGGGATTACCTACTTGCCACAACTTGCAATACAAGAAGAAGCTATCAAATGAAGCCAACAGATTCTGAACACCAAAAGGAAGTGGATCCTCTAGCAAAGGCTTTCATGTAGTGGTTCTGACCTGACTTCACACTTTTTAGGACATTTCCAGACACTAAGGAAAAAAAAAAATTGGTCAGTTGTATCTACAAACACATTCCACAATATACTTGAAAGAAATCCCCCTAGAGACACTATTCCTAAAACATGATCTGAATTATGTATGTCAATTTTTTTTCTTCTTTTGTCCCAGGGTCTGAAAAACAAAGAAAAAACCTGAATTTCTCTCTAATTCTGTATTATATTATTGTGTGACAGAGAGTTCAACTTCATATGACCTGATTCATCAAATCACTTCAGTTTTTTTCTAGTGCATAACTCTTATTTTTGGAGGGTTGTAAGAGTAAGGACCAGAATTTTTTCTTCTTACAACTACTTTTATTTTAGGGTTGCTACCATAATTACTTGCTCTTGACCTGTGGCCTAAAGCTTATGGTTATCACAGCTTTATTGACCAGCCTCAGTGCTAGCAACTAGGAAGGTGCCAGGGGATACCGAGTGGAATAGTCCACATGCTACTAACCATCTTGAAGCAATCTTCAGGTGGTTGTTGAACAAGAGTGTTGTATCCAGCTCTTCATACGTGACTTTTACAGTTTCTAACTTGTGACCATTCTACCATGTTGGGTCAAATGTTTTTTTGTGAAATTATTAAAGCAATTGATGATCTTGCTTTTGCTTTCTCAGTCTGGCTTGCGGTCTGACTCAGAGGCTGGATTTGCTGAGCCATCTCAGTGTCCTTGCAGAAACCATTTGTTTCCCCAGATAGTTTCTCAAATGATTGTATCACATCTTGTAACAAAATACACTTATATTGATGAAGCAAATTGTTAGTTCTTCCAATTGCTCTGAAATTCATTATTAACTAACTTTCCATTAGAGACAATTAAATAAAAGGCAATCATCTTGTATCTGGTAATTTTACTCTGAGAGCTATGAGGAATATGCTGCTTATATGTATTATATATTTATGTCTTCATGCTTATACTTAAACTTTGAATATATGTATTGATAAAAACGAAGTTGTGTACTAAGCCAACCTCAGATGGAGACTCTTGAAACAATGACTCCCATTATTGACTTTTATATTTTTCTGTTAAATCTACTTTGAAATTTGGCTCCAACTTGAGCAGGATTTTGGGCTACATGGCTTCCAGAGCCGTTTTCCAACTTAAATCATTATGTATTGTCTTTATAGAGCTTCTGGACAAGAGTGTCATGAATCACCATCGTAAATAAAGCATCATAGAAGACATAAACCATCTTCCACTGTTCATGGCAGACTGGTGAGAGGGGAAATAAATATCCCCAGTAAAAATATATTGATAGCAGGAAGTGTCAACACTGCCAGCAGCCTGAACCTTGTCATTTTTTTCGGGGCTTTTTTACACAGACTTTTTTTTTTTTTACCTTTTCAAAGCTTTCTCCTCAGTTGTTGTTCTGGTTGAATGGTCTTGTGATTAGACTTACTTCACTTAATTCTTCACTTTAAATCATTTTCTAACATCTGAGGAAAAATCCTAGCCTTGTATGTTGTGCCTTGGAGGAACCAAATTGTAACAGCTCTCAAGAAAGGATAGAATGTCTTTGAAGAAGGTATAAGTTATAATCATAATTGATATTCCATTCTTAGCTGATTAAAAAAAAGTGGAACGTAAGGAATTTCACAGTGTACTTCACCTCAAACCACGAAATCTGATGAATGCAGCAGCACACTAATCAGAACTGGACAAAATGTTTTTCATCTGAAAATGCCAATTCATCAAGTACTAAGTTCTTCTAGAAACTCCTCAGTTTTTGAAGAAACTTTATTTCAGAAAGGGAAATCCCTTTTGCTGAAAGCCCATCACTAAAATAGAATAAAAATATATATCATCCTTTCTTTTTCTCATATTTTCCTTCTTGTATAAACTTAAAATGCTGCTAAAATCTAGCAAATAGTGGATATCAGTTTGAACATGACTTCAATTATGACTATAGAAAGAATTAAAAAGAAAATATTTTATATAAATACATATATATACAAGGAAGACAAATTGAATGCAGTAATTCATTTTACATAATATGCACTCAGAAAGACCACATATCAAACTGTCAGATGTGAATGTCACACAATAAATTTACCCATTCATGCAAAAACATAAAGCCCAAAAGTTAATTCCTTTTTCCCTTGATATGAAGTAAAACCTAAATTTGATGTCCTAAATTTGATCTCCTTAAATGCAGCTGTCTCTAGTCCTGAGACACATCAGACTTTGCTTGCACGCCAGCACTACACACAATGCAGAAGCAATGGCAACACACTTGCAGTGCAATTAGGACGTTTTGCAGTATCATTATACATTTGAGCAAAATATTGCAACATTCACTGGTCAGATTTTTTTGATTTAAACAAAATGAGGGAAAGATGCAAACCACATTAAAATATTTTGAAGTGTTTGAAACCTTGTTTTTCCTTACTTTCAGATATTTGGAGTCTTTTTTCCCTTATCTGAGATGTTACCTACTGTACTGCTGATTAAGCATAGCATTTCTTTTGCTGTCAGCATTTCTATGTATAATAAACCAGGAACATACCGTGATGAACAACCTGGAAAGAATCTCTAACTCTTTCCTGATTAGCAAAAAGATCTTTTTGTTGCTTTTATGTCTCTGAAGTTTACCATGTACGTCCTGCAGCCAGCAGGGAGCTTTACATTTTTATTTTAGATGGCATCAGACCAGAATTTTCTGAAATGTTTACCCTAATCAACAGGAGCATATGCATTCTGCTTACCTGTTGAATAGGTAGAGGACTTCTAAAGGTGAGATTGACTTCAGATCTGGACATCAGTTACTACATTGTCCACACCAGTGAGCATCACTGATAGCACCAGTTCTGCTTTTACTTCTCTCACATGCTTTCTTTCAATAAACTGTTTTGTACAGAATCATTGAATTTCAGTGGGGAATGTCAACTAGTTCTAATTTTATTCTGAAAATTTATTAACAAGTTTTTTCTAATTTTATTTAATGAATATGCACAGAGGTAAGGAATCCTTGGAAAAAATTAGTATAATTTCCAAATAAAAGCTATGCTGTGTGGAATCACACTGTGAAAACTTAGAATATTACTGTTTCCTTAATAAATATACATCAATCTTTCAAATATTTTTTTTAAATTATAGAAAAGACAACTTTAATGAAAAATCTGTTTGTTGATAGTTTTAATTCTTCTTTTCAACTCTTGGACAGTTTCAGTTCTTCTTTTCTTCTCCATTGTGTCAAGCAAAGTTCTCTATCACACAGGAAGCTGAGCCAAGTGTTGTGCTTATTTTCACAAGGAGGTAAATCAATACAGCCCATTTGCTTCACTGGAATTATATTGATTTGTACCAACTGAGGATCTAAATCAGTGAAATTATGTACTGATTAGTGGTTGTCCTCAGCCATCTCCATTCAGGACCTCTCTTTCACAGTTGAGTATAGCTGATCTTCTCTGTCATTTAGTAACATAAAAGATATAAATTAACCAGGGTATCTTGACATTTATTCACAGCCTGAAGGTTAAACCTAGGTGTTGCCAATATTAGTAGTTAGGAGAAGAGTCAGCCCCCGGTGGTCCAGGGGAAAATTCACTGCACTGTCACTGCAGAGACCCGGGTTCGATTCCCGGTCGGGGCCACTCCCCGGGCAGATGGAGCTCGTTAGCCCGTAAGGCAATCCATCTACGTCCTGAGGACCTCGCTGCCACCGTCCAAGCGTGCTTGGCCCCGGCAGATGAACCTCAGGATTAAAGGGTGGGCTCAGTTCCGCGCACACTGTGTCTCACCTAAAAAAATCCAATGCGCAGGCTGGAAGGTGGAAAGACCTTCCCCGGTTCTTCGTTCGCGAAGAGACTGGCCATTACATTACAGTCCATAGATCACTTCAAAGATT